CTTTGGAATCAGGCTAATTTCTACCATATAAAAATATTTTTTATATGGTCTCTTAAAATATTTTTTATATAAAAATTATTTTTATTTTAAAAAAAATATTTTTAATATCAACATATTAAAATAATTTAAAAATATTCAATATTAATTTTTTTTAAAAGTGAATTGTTATAATTGTTCCTGCTGAGAACTCCAAGAGATAGGCATGTTGAAAAAGTTAAAGAGATGGCATTTATCGAAGATAATGTATATCCTTTATCATGGCAGTGCCGTATGGACACTAAATTAAAAGTACTATCCTTTATATAAAGCTCGTGTCTTTCCCATTTCTATCCTTCTTAAAATAGTCTTCTTCATAGATTTAGCATTTTTCTATAAGAGATTTTTCTTGCTCTTTGTATCCTTGACTTATCTCTTTATACAGAAGGCACCATGAATTGTGATGGGTCATCCAGAAGACCAGTTGCCATGTCTTTTTTAAAAAAAAAAAAAAAAAGAGTAGAAGACCTGACGAGGACCTCACTTATTTCTCTGATGGTGAAGGTTCATCTTCTCATCCTATTACCATCCCTGACCACCGTTCAAACATGGAGGACCGCCGCTCTATAAAGGGTTTGTGCCTGGCCGTATTGCCCCTTTAAAGATTGAGTTGTTCAAGGCAGAGTTATAGGCTCAAGATGCTTTATTTAGAGACAACCATATACCTTTTTAGGAACCAGTACGATAGAGAGGGTGTAGGTTTTTTGCATGTCTGATACAAGTGCTTGTTACTATGAGAAGCAGTTCTGTCTCATTAATTACATTTTGATCAACCAGAGTATTTTATTAATGGTAAGAGGAGGATTTGATAGCTCTCTTTTCCTTTTGTTTTCCTACCCTCTCTCTCTCTCTCTCTCTCTCACTCTCTCAATTTCTTATTTTTAAGCCTTTCAATCATAAGCATTCATTGTCAATAGTTGAGAGGCTAATTAGCAAGAACACATAGCCTATGTTATGTCAAACGCCTAAGAGATGTCTCGTGTGATAGCCTCACTGGAGAAGCATTATGCAATTACAGAAGAAAGACGAAGAAATATTACATCAAATTATTTTATAAATTTTATTGGGTTTAATAATTTAATTTCATTTTAAATTATTGCTTAATTATATAATAAGGACCAATTAAATGACAAGACATCATAAAAAAAAAAGATAAGAAAAATTAAGATACAAAGGAAAGAAAAGGTATTGAAGCCTCATTACATTAAGGTCGGACAAAAAAAAATTGAAAATAAAAATTTATCTAGAAACTCTTAGCAATGTTATTAAAGTTGTTTAGTGAGTAAACTTTCAACTTTCCTGATCCAACTTTTTATTATGATCGAGTTTTAATAAAAAATATTTTGATGTAATTTAATTAATTTAATAAATCTAAAAATAATTTAAATAATTAATAAAAATATAATTTAACTTTAAAAAAATTAAGATAATATTTTTTTAATATTAAAATAATAATATATTAAATCGGTCTGGATTTTATGGATTAACCGGTCAAACACAATCCTATCATGAACTCCAATAATTTTAATGGCTTATAAAATTTACAATCAATCAAATTAATCTCTATACATTACGAAGAAAACAAGATAAAAAAATAAAACTAAAAAACAAAGAAAAAAGAAGATACGAATAAGTGCATTTTACCTCAGTTTTTTGAATTTTAATTTTAAATAAGACTTAACTTGTCAAATTTAGTGTTTGTTTACTATTGTATAGTAGTAGCAAATACTTTTCAAAGTTTTTTTCATATAAAAAAGTATTGAAATATTTTTTTTATTTTTGATATCAGCACATCAAACTATCTAAAAATAATTTAAAATAAAAAAATAAAAAAAAATTATTTTATTTTAAAAATATTTTTAAAAAGCAAACCTTGTTTTGATATGAAATTTCAAGCTAGCATATACCCTAACTAGGATATGATGGAAGGATAATTTGATTACCAATTATTTTTATTATTTTAAAAAAATCTTACAAGGACCTCAATCGATAAAGTTTAAGGTATTTTAGTAAAAATTTGTTTTTACTTGAAAATATTTAAAAAAATATCATAAAATTTTTAATAAACTCATTTCCAATCTCGCCATCCTCTAATCTTTCTAAAAAATAAAAATTAAACAAATTTCAAGGATCTTAAAATATTTTTCATGATATCAATATTGGAGATGAAATTCGCTTCCTTTAAGTTCCCTCTACCAATACAAATATACCAAAATAACTGTTGCTGGTGGTTTTCTTAGATTTTTTTACAACTCTCCCTCGAGACTAATTATGAAATAAAAAATTAAACCCAACGAACCAAATTATAGTTTTATGCCCCTTTTGTGGCCAATGGCTATGTTTCTTTTTTGATGTCAATTTGGTCCATCCATTTTCAATTGTTTTTTTTTAAGTTAAAACTTAATCTTGTAAAATTGTTCTTTAATTTGACGCTCGAATATTTTACAACATGAGATTCAGGCGAGATGAACACAAATTCAGAAAGAAAAAAAAAAGAGTATTGGAAGGATTGAGTTGAAATGAAAAGAAGTTTAATGGGCGAAGTGGACAGTAATAAAAATATAAAAGATCGAGAATGAAAAGAATTGAATATAAATAATGGAGTGAACATATAAACGTGAGAGGATGAACAAATGGATGTACAGTAAAACACCCATATATTTTAGTATATAGTTAATTAATAATAACAATTGTGTCATAACAAGCATCATGCGGTCGTGCCTCTACCATTTATGTATGTAGAACTTTATTTACTTGAAGAAAGAAATAAATATTAGATTGAGCTGTACGAGAGAGTACTGAGTTGGATTTACATAGTTTTGCAGGGATAATTGCACTATTAGCATAGAAACTTTATATATATATATATATATATATAGTCTTTTCAATTGACTAATTAAATTCTCAAAATGTTGGAAAACACTGTTTTTACTGCAAATTTGTGTTTACAAAATATTCGAGTATACAATAATAATTATTTTTCAAAATATTTTTTATTCAAAAAATATATTAAAATAATATACTTTTTATTTTTAAAAAATTATTTTTAACATCAATATATAAAAAATAAAATTTACCTCATTTTTATTTAAACTACAGTATTAAAGTTTTAGTGGCTATTTGGTATTGTAATTATGAATAAAATTCATTTATAATCATAAATATTGTTATTTAATTAAGAAGAAAATACAATTTTATTTTGAGAAGACCGCTATAAATTGGAGCTGTACCACAGGTTTAACAAAAGCACAATATATATGCTTTGCAAACAGCAGCTCCCGTGAACCGTGAAGAATAAAGGAAAACTACAGTAAACCAGAAAGGGGAGCAAGCTTTCGTTGAAAAAAAGAACAGCCCCAAGTTCATTGAATGCTGATCACTTGGTTGTGTTTCGCATTGGAAAGGAAAGGCGTTTTGTCTGGATCTTGATATATTCAAGTTTTCACATGTAATTTTTCTTGTTAAATTTTTCAAAAATATATATTTTAAATTAATTTTTTAAATATTTTTAATATATTAATATTAAAATAATTTTTTTAAACATATATTTTTAATTTATTTCAAACATATCACTGTGAATCTTCTCGGTATATTTTTAATCCTCTCACCAAAAAATTTGAAATTTAGATTCATAACATGATTTATTTTCTATTATTCACATGAATAGTGGATAGTGTATCTATTATTTATAGTCGGATCGAGTCAAATCAAAATTTAAATATTGGATGTCTGGATCTGTTCTAGCAAAATAAAAAATGAAACAATTTTTTAAATATTGTATTTTATTTAAAAAACTAGTGTTTAATATTATTTAATGACATTACATAATTATATTAGAAAGAGATCACATAATGAAGTAGCATTTGCAAAATTTAATTGTAATCCCAATTTTGTTCTTGATGATATTTTATTTGATATTGTTTCACGTTCGGGAAACCATGAAAACTGTAGTTCTTGCTGGATAGATTTCATACGTGATGAAATTATAAATAGTTTAATAAAATAATAAAAAACAATTTATATAAAGTATTATTTATTTAATGATATAATAACAGTAGTTAAATTTATAATATTTCAACTAAAAATTATCAATATTAATATATATCTTTTTTAGTTATTTTATAACCTTAATTTAAAAAATATTTTCAACCAAACACATTAAATTGCTTTTTGTTTAACTTTAATTTTAACTATAATTTTAACTAAATATATTTTTTTAAAATAAATCTTAACTAAAATTATACTTTTATAAATATTTTTTTAAATCATAACAATAATAACAACAACAACTATATATACTAACTAGTGTATAGCATTAGTGTATTATAGCTTATAGGCTTATAAAATCCTGTAAGATATTTGCTTAACCCTCAAACATTTGGCATTTCAATATCAAATTTTACAATATTTTATGAATTTGGTAAGAGAACGATTTGTAATTTTGTAAAATAATAGACCATCAATCAGTTATCTAACAACCACTCAAAAAATAAATAAATAAATCAAATTACCACACATTTCGGTAATAGAAAATCTAAATTTACCAACACAAAACTTAATATTCATGAAAGTCATAATTATATTAAGACAAAAAGATATAATTCAGATGGCCAAAAAAAAAAAATCATAATCGAAGCTCATAATTAATGACTCGGACCCTCTCTTAATTTTTGGCCTTTTAAGTATAATTTTAAATTTATATCAGACGTTGACTTAGACCGAAAGATATAAATCAAAATGTGAAAAAAAAATGGCCACTACCAACTCGGAAATAGCCTGGAAGTGAACGACAGTCCACTCCGATCATGATTTCAAAGGGATAACAAAAATCATTACAGGAAAGCATTCGAACTCCGTATCCCCAGATTACCCGCCCCTAAACCGCATTATTACCATCGGTCAGTCACCATATCACCCCGTTAAAGTTCCCTGATTCATTAGAAAATGCAGGGTAATACTGTCACACAAATCTTAAAACCTGACTTTTCAATGAGACCGAAAAACCCAAAACGCGATCTCAATCTCAAAGCCACTGAGCTCTCTCCCTCTCTGTCACTGTTCTCTTCATTTCGATTTCTCTATGGTGCGCTTCACTGTCTCCTCTCCAAGCCATGAAATCTAAAACAACAAAACAAGCCCTAACATTCCCTCTCCAGATCCGAGCTCACTGAGTCACGGGCCTCACTCACCTTCCTGACTCGGGAATGGCTTCCTCGGAAGCCGATTCCCGGTTAAGCCAAGTAGTATGCCCTGCTTTAGAAAAAATCGTCAAAAACGCATCGTGGCGTAAACACTCGAAATTAGCACACGAATGCAAATCCGTCCTCGAGATTCTCACTTCTCGTAAACCCCAACAACAACCTCCTCCGACTTCCCCGTCCGACGACTCCTCATCCGAATCCTCTCTCCTTGGCCCGCTCCACGACGGCGGGTCCATCGAGTACTCCCTCGCGGAATCTGAATCTATCCTCAGCCCTCTGATCAACGCGTGCAACACTCAATTCCTCAAGATCGTCGATCCAGCCGTTGATTGCATCCAGAAATTGATCGCGCATGGGTACCTACGTGGCGAGGCGGACTCCACCGGAGGTACTGAAGCGAAATTGCTAGCTAAGATGATTGAATCTGTGTGTAAATGTTATGATTTAGGGGATGATGGTGTTGAATTGCTGGTTTTGAAAACCCTATTGTCAGCCGTTACGTCGATTTCGTTGAGAATTCATGGAGATTGTTTGTTACAAATAGTGAGAACTTGTTATGACATTTATTTAGGGAGTAAAAATGTAATTAATCAAACGACGGCGAAAGCGTCTTTGATTCAAATGTTAGTTATTGTGTTTAGGAGAATGGAGGCTGATTCTTCGACGGTTCCGGTTCAGCCGATTGTTGTGGCTGAATTAATGGGACCAGTGGAGAAAACGGATGTGGATGGGTCAATGGCGGTGTTTGTTCAAGGTTTTATAACGAAAATTATGCAGGATATAGATGGGGTTTTTAATCCGGGGACACCCAGTAAGTCTTCGATGACAGTGGCACATGATGGGGCTTTCGAGACCACTTCTGGTACGGTGGAGAGTACAAATCCGGCAGATTTGCTTGATTCGACGGATAAGGATATGTTAGATGCCAAATATTGGGAAATTAGTATGTATAAGACGGCTTTGGAAGGCAGGAAAGGGGAGTTGGCTGATGGGGAAGGGGAGAGGGATGATGACTTGGAAGTGCAGATTGGGAATAAGTTGAGGAGAGATGCATTTTTGGTTTTTCGAGCACTTTGTAAGTTATCTATGAAAACTCCGCCCAAAGAAGCATTGGTGGATCCACAGTTGATGAGAGGGAAGATTGTTGCATTGGAGTTATTGAAGATTTTGTTGGAGAATGCTGGTGCTGTGTTTAGGACTAGTGACAGGTACGGCCTATATTACACCTTTATAGTGTATGTCTTCTTTCTGGATTTTGCATTTTTTTTTGCATTAATTTATTGTTTCACATTTGATTTGAAGTTAATTGTTATAGACATGCTAATAAATCTTATCACGGTGCTTTGTAAAATGATAGATGCATTTACATCATTTGTAAGGTCTTGAAGTATTTCTTCTGTGTAGCTATATACACCTATTACTGAATGGAAACCAGACTTGCTCTAGTGGATGTAGGCGCATTCTAGTGAATTTGGTTTATTTTGTTAACAACGAAGAGATGAAGCAACAATTGTTAGATAGTATATCCATGGTAAAGAGTCTTCAAGGTAGATCTCAACTTTTGTATCCAGAGTATATTTTCTATATAGCTAACATGACCACTGGCGGCTGGAAAACAGTTAGATTCTAGTGTGCAGATGACCTAGAATGAAGTTACAATGGTTAGTTAATATTTCCGTAAAAGAAGTGTCTTCTAGGTTTTAGATCTAAATGAATGCAGCATAAGCCTTCCTTATCCTGAAAGTTCGTTAAAATGCTGCCATTGTTACATCCAAGCTTCATAGAGAGTCCACAGGTAGAGCCATCGTTAGCTCGTGCAGAACAATCAGCTCTGTAGCTCATTCTGGATCTGAATTGTTTAAAACTCGATTATCAGAAAGATCTTAAAATAGAAAATTGAACCACTGGGAGAGATAGGGTGGAAAACTTGTGGAGGTCAATTGCTTGCAAATGGTATGGTACCAGTAATAGTAGCTGCTTATGCTACTTGGGAGAATCGGTATAACTTTGGCTGTAAATGGACTTCTCCTATTTCAAGGATTCATGTACTGTTTGTGCTGTTAAGATATGGGGTTAAGGATCTATTCGGTAAATTGCTTAATGGTCTTTTCATTTTCCATTGTAATAGGGTTTTGAATACATGGGTGAAAGCCTGTAGACAACTGTTGTGTGGCAATATCAGAACTGAGTATTGTTGTTACCTATTTCAGTAGTTAATTTTAACCAGTATTTATCCCTTTCATTTCAAAGGATTAAGGAGTGTTGTTTCAGGTGTCAGAGTCTTGCTTTAGCTTGGCACTTGGAATTTCTGATGGTAGGACAAATCCTTGAATGCCTTTTGGTTCGATGTAAGCCAGGAAAGCATAGCTACCAACTCTTTTGGGAGGCACACTGATCTCACATATTCTAGGTTAGTTGAATCTTAGTTTAGAAGGTGTGTCAACTAGTGCTATTTTCCCATCAATTGGCTTCATTTTCCTCTCTTGGCTTCAAAGCTACCATGGTATTAGAAAGGGTCAAGTTTCTGATATTTTTACATTTGAGCAATCTCATGTGGTTATCAGCACCTTAAAAATTGACTTTTGAAATGCTGGTTCTCTTGCCTATTATTTTTGCTCCGAAGTTGAATGGTTTTATTTTGGTTTCATCTCAGTCCTTTCTATATCCATAAGCGCCATTGTTATGATCTTAATGGTATTTGATGAAAAATTGAGATTTAGTTTTATCACTTCTACGCACATGCAATTATGTTGCTCATGGAATGCTGTTCACATAACAAAGCCTCTCAAAGTTAAATTTGTGATGCATTAAATTTCCTTGATTCTTGATCTGAAACAGGTTCTTAGGTGCCATCAAGCAATATCTATGTCTTTCACTGTTGAAGAACAGCTCGTCAAGTCTTATGATCATTTTCCAGCTTTCTTGCTCCATTTTCATTAGTTTGGTTTCAAGGTTCAGAGCTGGACTGAAAGCAGAAATTGGAGTATTTTTTCCTATGATTGTTCTCAGGATTCTTGAAAATGTTGTTCAACCTAATTTTCAGCAGAAGATTATAGTACTTCGGTTTCTAGATAAGCTCTGTGTTGATTCCCAGATCTTGGTAGATATTTTTATTAATTATGACTGTGATATCAACTCATCAAACATATTTGAGAGGTATGCTTGTTTTTCCTTTCTATAGATATCTGAGTTTGTAATACAAATGATCTATAGCATTGACAATAATATCACGCATTAAATTGGTTGATGAATTCTGATTTGTTATCTTGATCATTCAGAATGGTCAATGGACTTCTTAAAACTGCACAAGGTGCCCTGCCTGGTACTGCCACTACACTGTTGCCACCTCAGGAGGTGACCATGAAACTTGAAGCTATGAAGTCCTTAGTGGCTATTCTGAAATCAATGGGAGACTGGATGAATAAACAATTGTGCATTCCCGATCCTCATTCTGCCAAGAAACCTGATGCAGCCGAAAACAGTCCTGGGCCTGGAAGTCTTCCCATGACAAATGGTAATGGGGATGAGTCCGTTGAAGGATCAGATTCTCATTCCGAAACCTCAACTGAAGCATCGGATGTTTCAACTATTGAGCAACGACGGGCTTACAAGCTGGAATTTCAGGTAACTGATTTTATTTTATTTATATGCTGACAACTGCAAATGGAATCTAATTTAAAATTTGTGGCAGGAAGGTATATCTCTTTTCAATCGGAAGCCTAAGAAAGGAATTGAATTTCTAATCAATGCAAATAAAGTGGGGAATTCAGCAGAAGAGATAGCAGCCTTTCTTAAAAACACATCTGGCTTGAACAAGACACTGATTGGCGATTACCTTGGGGAAAGAGAAGATTTTTCACTGAAAGTAATGCATGCTTATGTAGATTCTTTTGACTTTCGCAGCCTGGAGTTCGATGAGGCTATCAGAGTCTTTCTACAGGGCTTTAGGTTACCAGGTGAGGCACAGAAGATTGATCGAATTATGGAGAAGTTTGCTGAACGTTACTGCAAATGTAATCCAAAGGTTTTTAGTAGTGCTGACACAGCCTATGTCCTTGCTTACTCCATGATACTGCTCAACACTGATGCTCATAATCCCATGGTGAAGAATAAGGTGTGTTCAAATTCTTTAGTTTTATTCTGTGGATATTTCAGGTTGCATGATGGATAAGTTTGTGCCCTCCTCCCTCACTTCTCTTGCAAAAAAAAAAAAAATGCAGATGTCAGCTGATGACTTTATAAGAAACAACCGTGGCATTGATGATGGGAAAGATCTACCTGAGGAGTACTTGAGATCTTTGTTTGAAAGAATATCAAAAAATGAGATCAAAATGAAAGAATATGATTTAGCTCTCCAACAAAAGCAGTCTTTGAATTCAAACAGAGTTTTAGGCTTGGATAGTATCCTGAACATTGTGATCCGCAAGCGGGGTGAAGAAAAGAATATGGAAACAAGTGATGATCTTATCAGGCACATGCAGGAACAATTTAAAGAAAAAGCTCGAAAATCTGAGTAAGAACCACTGCCTCTCCTGTTCTCCAAAATCCTTTTGCATCTCCATCCGAAACACTATGGTAACTGATCCCAACCTATCCAGTAATTTGGGTTCTGCACCCTATTGGGCTCTCCAATACGTGGACAGGGTGATAATCTTGTTGATCTTAATTCTATTGATAACTGCTGACTGTTTTTATCGTTAAGGTTTGATTAGTGCCTCCTGAAAAATAGAATTCCTTTTTGATATATTCTTTTTCCCAAGAGAAATGTAACCACGTTTATGTACTGTGATTATGCTCTTGGTGAAGTTGATATTTGTAGTTTGAAGGTTATATTTAATTCTCACAGATCAATTGTGGCCTGGCAATTTGCAGGTCAGTTTATTATGCTGCAACAGATGTGGTGATTCTTAGATTCATGGTTGAGGTATGCTGGGCTCCTATGCTGGCAGCCTTCAGTGTGCCTCTTGACCAAAGTGATGATGAAGTGGTGATAGCTTTGTGTCTTGATGGTATCCGCTATGCAATCCATGTTACTGCTGTGATGTCCATGAAGACTCATAGAGATGCTTTTGTGACTTCATTAGCAAAGTTTACATCGCTCCACTCCCCTGCTGATATCAAGCAGAAAAATATTGATGCTATTAAGGTTTGTGTTTGACATAATATCTCTTATAGATGCTCCTGCAGATTACTTTAAATAAAATTAGTATTGTTTTGTGATCCTACTTTCTTTAGGTTGTAATTTAAGAAATCCTGTTGAGATTATCATTGCCTTGTGCTAAATGGGAGTATACCTTTTATATTTTAATGGCTTTATGAGGCTCCCTTCAAATTTTAACATTGCAAATCTTTAGATGGGAAGTAATCGTAGGATGGTATTAGATGTTCCAGCCAAAGTTTTTTTTCTCCCTCAATGGATAAATTGATATCTTTTGGAGAGGGGAGTACAAAATTGGGATCTCTTTTTTGGAGGGAGATGTTTGGATAGAAATAGGTTTTCTGTGTTAATGTTTCATGAATAATCTTTTGGCAGAAAATTAAATGGTTAAAATGAATGAAAATGTAATATGAGAAGAGCCAATACAAGGTTCGATGGTAGCTTTATTGAACCTTCTGCTAGCAACAAATCTCTTGCAGAAAGTCTGCAAGTTGTCACAACATTTGTATGAGCCTATTATTTTGTGGAGCTTTAACTATCAATGATCCCAATATAATATTCTTTTCTTCATTCCATAGCAATATGCCCTTGGCTCTAATAGTGATTTCGGTTTGCATTATTTGCAGGCAATAGTTACAATTGCAGATGAAGATGGGAATTATTTGCAAGAAGCTTGGGAACATATTTTGACATGTGTCTCACGCTTTGAACATTTGCATCTCCTGGGAGAGGGTGCTCCTCCAGATGCCACCTTTTTTGCTTTTCCCCAAAATAACTCTAAAAAGTCAAAACAAAGCAAGTCAACCATCCTCCCTGTTCTGAAAAAGAAGGGACCTGGGAGGATGCAGCATGCCGCTGGTAGTGTGCTGAGAGGTTCATATGATAGTGCTGGTATTGGTGGAAATGGTGCTGGGGCTGTCACAAGTGAGCAGATGAACAATTTAGTTTCCAACTTAAACATGTTAGAGCAAGTTGGCAGTTCTGAGATGAACCGCATCTTCACACGGAGCCAAAAGTTAAACAGCGAGGCAATAATTGACTTTGTGAAGGCTCTTTGCAAGGTTTCTGTGGAGGAATTGAGATCAGCTTCTGATCCACGGGTCTTTAGCCTTACAAAGATTGTTGAGATTGCGTAAGAATCATTCAAATTTTGGTTCCTTTCTCAGGAATCTTGCCTTTTCTGATTCTTTGAAATTTATCTGCTGTTACTGGAAGGATTGCGTCGTAAATTTGATTTGATTTCTTACAACAGGCACTATAACATGACTCGCATCAGGCTTGCATGGTCAAGCATCTGGCATGTGCTTTCTGATTTCTTTGTAACCATCGGCTGTTCTGAAAACCTTTCAATTGCAATTTTTGCAATGGACTCTTTACGCCAATTATCAATGAAATTCTTAGACCGAGAAGAGTTGGCAAACTATAATTTTCAGAATGAGTTTATGAAGCCGTTTGTTATTGTTATGCGGAAGAGTAATGCTGTTGAAATCAGAGAATTGATTATCAGATGTGTCTCACAAATGGTCCTGTCTCGTGTCCATAATGTTAAATCTGGATGGAAGAGCATGTTCATGGTATTGAAATCTTCTGATTCTCAACCTTATTTATGGTGAATTTACTGTTAACCATTAAATTTTAGATTTGATTTTATGAGATATTCTACTAAGAATACTGTTTTTGACCTTTTGAAATCATATTGCTTTAGGTTTTCACAACAGCAGCTTATGATGACCACAAAAACATTGTACTCTTGGCCTTTGAAATAATTGAAAAGATTATTAGAGATTACTTCCCATACATTACGGAGACTGAAACAACCACCTTTACTGATTGTGTGAATTGCCTGATAGCATTCACCAATAGTAGATTCAACAAAGACATTAGCCTTAATGCAATTGCTTTTCTTCAATTCTGTGCCACGAAACTTGCTGAAGGAGATCTGGGATCTTCATCAAGGAACAAAGACAAGGAAACCTCTGTAAAGATTTCATCCCCTTCACCTCGGACCGGAAAAGATGGAAAACAAGAGAATGGAGATATCAAAGACAAGGAAGATCATCTTTATTTCTGGTTCCCTCTGTTGGCTGGTAAGGAAATTGGATAAGTTGGCACTTTGTCCCATTACAAACTATTTTCTTTTGCTCAAGTTGTAGAACCTCTTTTTAATTTCCTCTTCAAATTTCATCATTCTCAATCATTTTTTCACTATATTAATTATTCGTGGTTGGTTTGTGCAGGTTTATCAGAACTTAGCTTTGACCCAAGGCCTGAAATCAGGAAGAGTGCCTTGCAAGTACTGTTTGAAACTTTACGCAATCATGGTCATCTTTTTTCTCTGCCTTTATGGTAAAGAGTCTTTGAGTCGGTCTTATTTCCTATATTTGACTATGTGCGGCATGCTATTGATCCTCCTGGAGGCAACTCCCCTGAGCAGGGGATTGATGGTGATATGGGTGAACTTGATCAAGATGCGTGGCTCTATGGGACATGTACCTTGGCTCTCCAACTGGTTGTAGATCTTTTTGTGAAATTCTACAATACTGTCAATCCGCTTTTAAGAAAGGTGCTATCGCTTCTGGTTAGCTTCATTAGGCGTCCTCACCAAAGTCTTGCTGGTATTGGTATTGCGGCATTTGTGCGTTTGATGAGCAATGCTGGAGATATGTTTTCAGAGGAGAAGTGGCTGGAAGTGGTTTTGTCATTGAAAGAGGCTGCCAATGCAACACTACCTGATTTCTCTTACATTGTAAGTGGGGAATCATCGGTAATATCCTATGAACAAAATAATGTAGAGACTGCTGGATCTGACATGCCCGAAGATGAATCAGAGGGACTGGTGGCACACCGTCTTTATGCTTCTATATCTGATGCAAAGTGTCGAGCTGCTGTTCAACTTCTGTTGATTCAGGTACTCTTAACTATTTATTTTGATATCATGGAAATTTTACACAATTATATCTGTGTTTGTGGGTTTTGTGCTCTCCTTCCGCAGCTCTGCTTAGGTGTGAGTTTGATGGAGATATATGAAAGAAAGGAAAAATGTAACTGTTCCAAGGACATCGTGTTGAAATCTAGTATCTACAATTCTGCAAGAGGGTGACTGTTGCACAATATTGATACCAGGTTGTCTAATATGAAAAAAAATACACAGTTCTAAACATAAGCATTCGTGCTTCCTTCCTTTTTCTGAAAGTTCTGAATATTGGCATCTTTTTCTAGACAAATTGAGGTTAAAGTTGAAGAAAATGAGCTTGATTTTCAAATCTTGTCGAGGTTGCTCATAATTAAGAGACTCAGAAATTATTAAATTATAAACCAGAAGAAAGTTGAAGGGCCTCAGTTCCTTCCCCAATGCTGTTGTGTGGGTGCCTATGCGATTGCATGTGCCTCAACAACATGAATGTTTTATATGTTGGTTCGTAAATGCTTAATCAGAAATGGTAGTTTTCGGATTCAATCCACTGAACATGGAGTGTGACCCTTCCATTATTGTATTTGGCAGGCAGTGATGGAGATCTACAGCATGTACCGGTCTCATCTTTCAGCAAAGAGTGCCTTGGTGCTCTTTGATGCTTTGCATGAGGTGGCATCCCATGCTCACAGCATCAACACAAATACAACATTACGTTCAAAACTACAAGAGCTTGGCTCTATGACCCAAATGCAAGACCCTCCACTGTTACGCCTGGAGAATGAGTCCTATCAAATTTGCCTCACATTCTTACAAAATCTTATGCTGGACAGACCTCCAACCTTTGATGAAGCTGAAGTGGAATCCTGCCTTGTCAACCTCTGTGAAGAGGTTTTACAGTTTTACGTTGTAACTGCCTGTTCTGGACAGACACCAGAAACTTCTACCAGTGGACAATGCCTGTGGCTGATTCCTTTAGGTTCTGGAAAACGAAGGGAATTGGCTGCACGTGCACCTCTTATTGTTGCAACTCTCCAGGCCATCTGTAGTTTGGGAGACTCTTCATTTGAGAAGAATTTGCCTCATTTCTTCCCTCTTCTTTCGAGTTTGATAAGTTGTGAGCATGGGTCAAATGAGGTCCAGGTAGCTCTCAGTGACATGCTCAGTTCATCAGTGGGTCCTGTTTTGCTTCGGTCTTGTTGATCTGGGTGCATTTTGGGTTGTTCATATACGTTGTGTCCTTCTGAGTTGTCTTTTTCTTCATTTGCTTTATTATAATTTGTTACTGGAGATATAGATTCATAGAGTATGAAGAGGTAGATGATTCTGGATCAGCCAATACTTCTGAACGTTGCTGTAGTTAATTCAGGAGCTTGGCTCTTTGTTCAGAATTCATAGATGTCATCAGTTTTGGTGTTGTATGGTAGTCATATATTTATTTTCCAAGCTTCCTGTCAAGAAACTTTAAAACAATAATTTCCTGTAAAAATTTGCCTATTCAGAATGTGAGGTAGAAGTTGTTTTCATACTGGGTGACTGCAATGTTGGAATCTTGAGTTGTACTTGGATTTTAGACTGCTATTTTTTTCTTATGTACTTGAAGGAGTCAATAGTGCTATTAATCTGACTGGATTTCATATACTGCGTGGGATGGTTTTAGGGCAGGAACGCAAGTAGTGGTTATGAATTCTGATGCCTGGATCATTTCTGTCAAGAGAGTGTGATAGCGGGCTTGATGTTTCATCACCAATTATGTTGCTGAGATAAGCACATAGAACTATCTATGAAGGGCTTGCGTGCAGTTTTCACTCCTGTCATGTTATCATGTAGGTTATAATTTATACAAGGCAGTCCACAAGTTCCGACAATAAGAGCTTGCTTGAGCTCTCTACAGAGGAGGGCGAAAACCTTTCTTCAACAGCTGAGAACCATGGATAGAGTTAGTAATTACAGGGGGGCGAAAAACAAGAGATTATTGTCTTCTAGTTTTGATCTCCTAACTTCATCTTTTGTAGCCATGGAAATGGAAATGTCCAACTAGTTCTAACATGTTTTCAAGGTCATAGGCACAAACGGGGATGGCAAAATATCTTGCCATGAGCTCTGTAAAGTTCTTCTTGTGTCTTGGCTATGAAAATTGAAAGGCTACTTGGGAAGCTGAAAGAATGGTGAGAGATGGATTCATTGTGTTAGATAAATTTGTCGATGCTGTGAATGATGATTGAAACTTTAGTAGCGGTAACAAGTAGGATCATCTCATGGACGCTTTTCTAATATTTGATACTGATAGGAATGGCCGAATCTCGGCGGGGGAGCTGGACTGTTCTTATTATCCCCGGATGCAAAAACCTGCAGCCTTAAAGATTGCAGGCGTGTGATAAAAGATAGTGATGGCTTCGTGGGTTTTCATGAATTTCGATCGGTGATGACAGCAAGTGCAAGCTAGCTACAAGATTAGCAAATAAGCCATGCACGTTGTTCGTGGACTTTTACGATGTTTCTGCAATCTTCAAGCACAGGTGTTAGCGAGTTGAAGCCAAGTGCGGATATCAATTATTGAATGGAAGAAGCGACTTTACAAAAAGTAGGGAAAATTATCAAATAATTGAAGTGGGGTATTTTGTCATTCTTTGCATAAAAAAGGGCCTTTTAAAAGAGAAGAAAGCTCTTTTCTGATGAGGTACATCTGCATGGCAAAGACTAGCTAATTTTATCATCATGATTTGAACATGGTCAAGTACAGCTGTTTATGCAAAAATAGTTATAGTGTATAGATAGAGTTCGTCCATTAATAATATCAGATGGGAGGAGGCCCCTTCTCGCAAGCTTTCAGATGTGCCAAGGAGCACACCAAGCCTTGAGAAAGCTCATAGACGACAACTTAGAACAGGATATTATTCTTCATACAGACAAACATGTGCTCATCATGTTTCTTATTTGTCGATTTCCATAGCGGGAATCTCTGTTCCAGAGCTCCTTGTCTTGTCCTACTCTTCCCCCGGAGATCCTTGTCCCTCTCGTGGCATCCTCCTCGCCCGCAAGCCGCAAAGAAAGCAGCATGATTATTTGATGTGGATTGAGTAACTGGGCTTTGAAAATGAGCCTGGATCAATTGCTATGAATCCTTGTACCAGTAGCTTATTACTAAAACAATTATTAAAATTAAAAAGCGTGGGATCGGTTTATAAATCAAGTTAATGTATTAGTTTACGCATTTTATCACAAAATTCTATGAATTCTTGTAACAGTAGCTTACACACACACCATACATACATATATAATCGCAGTGTGTTAAAAACAATTGCTTTTCGAGAATCATTCAGCGTCTAAGTGGTCGGTTTTATAATCGAGAAACTTATTTCATTAAAGAATTTCTAAAATAATTAATCATTAAACTAAGTCTGTGCGGCCTGATCAGACTAGTCGTAACCAATTTGAGGAGTTAGTGTAGGAAATTTATCTACCGGATTTAATTTGTATTTGAATCATTGTAAGCATATGGATCGTGGAGCATGCTTTTCCCAAGAGTTAGTGCCCGTCCCATGATGATTCATGTTTGGCACAACATTAAGAGCAAATAATCTTGATAAAAAGCTATTTGGGTTTTGTAGCTTCTCATCGTGTCATTGTGTATTGCATTGACCCTGTATAATGAAAATCTTATTCTTCCCTAGACATGGAAAAGTACAATTTGGTCCTGTAATTTTTAGTGTTGACATTTCCTTTCTAAAACCTTATTTCTCTATATTTCAGTTCTTGTAGGTGATTTAAGAGAGATAAAGTTGTCTAGAAAGAAAAAAAATAAATTTTAACTGACCACGCTCTAAACATGAAAAATAATAAATTTTATGTGAATAAATTTATTTTAAAAAGAATAATTTAATGGTGGTTGTTTAAACCTTCAATCATAATATAAAAAATATATTGAAATTTTCTTAGTTTGTTGTTTTAAATCGACTTAGTTTTTTTTTTATGAGACTAATTATGAAGTGTTTTGAGACTGAGAAATAAAATTATTAAGATTCCTATGATTTTTATAGGGTATTTTTTTTTAAAAAAAAAAATCTTCTGTTTTTAGAGACCAAATTACTTAAACTTTGATTTTTCACCATTAGAAATAGTTGGAATATGTTAGAATAGATAATACATTGTCTGATATACCATCAATCCTTTCACTAAAAAAAACTTTAAGGCACGAAGACTTCTTGTCCATTCAAGTTTATTCTTTCAAAAATATATGCATCTAGGCTTTTTTTTAATAGGTTGGATGCGCATGAGCTAGTCCTTTAAGTCAAGGAATTCCATTTTAAAAAAATAAAAATTATAGCCAATTTTTTATATTTTCTAATAATATTGACAAAATGATATTTTAAAAAAATTGGTTATGCCATAATTTTTAAATAAGATTATACCTTTTAATGGTAATATTAATAATTACTTTGTAAATAATTATATAAGAACTTAACAAGTAGAATTGTTTTTTTAAGAAATTAGTAGAATTGTTTTTTTAAGAAATTAATTGCTCATGAATATTTAACGAGAATAAAGTATCTATTTTGTTAATTTTGTTGTGGATTTTTTTATAATTCTTATCGAGTGAATTAATTTTTTATATAATCAAGTAAAAATTCATGTTTTCATCAAAATAAAAAAGAAACATCAAATACATTTTTTATGTTTAACTTCAATCATTGGAATTTATATGAATATTTATTTTAATTCTCTTAAAATTTTATTCAAAGATTATATTATTAATAGATAAAAAAAATTGGAAGCATAAAAAAGAAACACATGAATAAGAAAGAGAAACTTTGATTAAAAAAATACGTTTTCTTAAGAATTTAAACTATTGAGTTTATTTAAATATTTATTTTAACTTCCTATGTTTTTTTTTTTTTCAAGAAAGGGCTCCGCAATGCTACATCTTGTAAGCAAAGTGCTTGTCCTCAACATTTGAAATTAGCTAATATAGAAGAATGTAGAAAAACTAGTTAAATTTTAAGTTATTTAAAGATCACAAGTTCAAGTTTTACACAAACTTCAAGATTATTAAAAATTTATATAATTATTAATTTTAAAGCTTATGATATTAACAAAATACATGCAAGGTATCCTGGACAATTATATTAATTAAAAAAAAACAAATGAAATTAGCCTAAAAATGTATAATGGGCTTGCAGGTTAATGGACTGACACTTTCATTAGAGGAGTTTCATCCTAGTAATTTTCTTACGGAGGGCCCTAAACCTTTTTCTAATTGATTGATAAAGGTGTAAAGGATTAATTATTTACCTTCATTTGTCAAATTAAGCACTCAGAATTTAAATTATGGTCTTAGAAACAAAGAGAAATTATGAAATTTTTATAATACGGAAAAGAAAATGATCAATCAATCGTTAACCACAACTAACATCAAAGCAGAGTAATATTTGATCGAAGCTTGATTAGCAAATGACATTTTGCTTGTTATTTTAGCTATCTCGAGAGATGTCCTATCGATATGTCCTTACGATTCCAACACAAGATTATTTATATATGGAAGTCCTTAAAACATAGAACCATGGCGTCGAGATTGTTGTGATGATTAACGTCTTGGAAAAGGTTAAACGACTGTCTAGGTGCTTTAAAACCCTACCTTATGTTTAATTATTAATTCACAATCCATTGCTGTTCATACAAAATGATTATCTTAATAACTCTCAATTAATTTAGTTTAAAGATCGTATGAACTAATTAAATTGACACGCATTTCCCAGACATGTCAAGCACAATCATTTTGTTTTCTATGCATCTATTAGGATATTGAGTTGTCTTTTAGCTTTCATCATCATGATCATGTCTTTCAATAGCAGTTCTTACAAAGCCGATGAAGTAGTAAAAAGAAACTAGCTGGTTCTTCTCGTTGTTAAACTTTTAGAAATGCGAGAGGAACCCAGCTAATGATTCGAAGCCATCATTAGATTAGCGCATTCACATTGACTTCTAAAACAAAATTTCACATAGTGTATGCATAATATAAATATCATTAGTGAAGTACCAATCATTTCTTAAAAAATTATCAAAACTGTCAGAATTACTTCATCCGACTTTGATATGTGAGAGGGATAATCATCAAATCAATTTGTACTTTGTCATCTGCACTCCCAAATATGCAGGAACCAAATTTTATAAAGCCTTGTAGCTAATATTATGACATATTATAGCCAATCAGTAGTCGTTTGCTTAAAATATTAGGTTCATTGAAATTGATAATGGTTAAACCGGGATCCATCTATAGATTTTAATGGGAGAAAATTACCTTTCTGTGACAATCACCGAGTTTTGTAACACTTACTAAAGAAAATACAAGTGATATGACAAATGATTATGGGTTGGTTCAGGCATGCCAAGAATTGTTTTAGTAAACAATCTCAAGGGTTATTATCGTGGATTATCATGTTAGCAGTTGGAGCACAATAGTACCTCAATTATTATCGTGGCAACAGTTGACCACACTCTTATGTGTGTGTGACATGATAATCAACGT